GGTGCCAATGGCTCACAACTGTCATCCTAGCTACTCAAGAGGCTGAGATCTGAGGATCTCAGTTCAAAACCAGGCCAGGCAGGAAAGTCCGTGAGACTCTTATCTCCAATAAACCACTCAAAACCGGGAAGTGATGCTGTGGCTCAAGCAGTACAATACTCGCCTTGAGCTGAAGAGCACAGGGACAGTGCCCAGGCCCACAGTTCAAGCCCCATGACAAAAACAACAAAAATTTTTTAATTAAAAAAATTCCAGGCTTACGCCTGTAATTCTAGCTATTCAGGAAGCTGAGATCTTAGGATGGCGGTTCAAAGCCAGCCAGGGTGGTACTGTCGCTCAAGTGGTAGGGCACTAGCCTTGAGCTGAAGAGCTGAGGGACAGTGCCCAGACCCAGAGTCCAAGCCCCATAACTGACACACACACACACACACACACATACACACACACACACAAATCCCAGAACCATAACCACAACCATTGTCCCAATTTAAAAAAAAAAAAAGGAGGACAAATTCAGACTGCCAAGCAGTTCATCTCAAGCACCTGTGGAGCCTTCCCGCCTCTCTGACTGCCCCCCCCCCATTCCTGGGAAAAGGTCATGACAAAGGCCCTTTATACCATTCTCTGTCCATTCCTGCTCATCTGCATTCAGAGTGCAGGAGGGAGGGGAAGATTCCAGCTGAACTTACCACACACAAGGCATTTTTAGCAAAGCAGCAATTATCACCACTGACATGTGAAACAGGGTGGTTTACACCTGAAAGGAAAAGACCAGTCACGATCCCTGTAGATACCGCAGTCTCCTCAATTCCCTGGAACACTGACCGGGCAGCTCACTGAAGGTCTGGATTTCCCAGCAGCCTCTGCGGCCCATGTCCCCATCTGACACCTACTAAGTTTGGAGAAAACTTCCAGGGTCCTGTCAAGATTGAGGCAAAGGTCCCCTGCTCCTAGCAAGCCCGGACTCAGTGGCCCTTGGCGGCTAGTGCTCTCCTGGCCTGTCTGTGTGAGACCCTGGGCTCATCCCCAGCTCTGCCAAGAACTGGACAGTAAGTACAAGGAAACCTGCTGGACCGCTGCCATCCCAGCACGACCGCAAACCAGAACTTGAAGGCATTCTACCACTTAAGCCACACTTCCACTTCTGGCATTTTGGTAGTTCACTGGAGGTAAGAGTCTCAGGAACTTTCCTGCCTGGGCTGGCTTTATTCAATCCTCACATCTCAGCCTCCTGAGGAGCTAGGATGACAGGCATGAGCCATCAGCCCAGGCCTTTGTAATTTGGAGTGGAGACTACCAGTTCCAATGTTAGGTGCTAGATGTCTACCCTGCACCATGGGGCTGCCAGGCAATTTTCCTGGCAAATAAGGTGATGGTCAGGAGGCTGGGTCTTGGAAGGGGCATGAAAAGATGAATGAAGCTCTTCTCCCACACTGGGGAAACACACAGCAAATCCAGGGGGGAAAATACACCTACCTTGAGATTGAAACCAGAGGTTATCTCTATAGTTGTACCCAAAGACCTTTCCATTCACCACCAGTAGCAAGGCTCCTCCTGAAAAGTGCGCCGAGGTGACTTCTGGTGCAGTTATCTACAAATGATGACATCGACCACAAGAGTCACAGCAGTGCCCCCGACACCTGTCACCACGCATGTCGGGAACAGCTCTGCCCACCGCCGCAGCTGGGACTGCAGCTATGGGAGATCATTTACCCTGGGCCGGACACGTGCAAACTCGGGAGATGAAGTCGGACCTTGCTTCCCTTGGGCACCTCTGCTCACTCCCTAGCCACATGTGTGAGGATGCAGGCTGAAGTCGATGTGAGGACTGAGTACCTTGACAGGTGCATGGCAGCCCAGGTGTGAGGCTAGCCTGCCAGTCTGGCCTACTGACTGAGACCCTGGCTCAAAGAAATAAGGAAAAAGGGGGCTGGGAAGATGGCTCAGTGGTAGAGTGCTTGCCTTGCATACTTGAGGCCCTGGGTTCAATTCCTTAGCACCACATAAGCAAGAAGAAAAAAGCCGGAAGTGGCACTGTGGCTCAAGGGGTAGAGGGCTAGCCTTGAGCTGAAGAGCTGAGGGACAGCGCCCAGGCCCAGAGTTCAGGCCCCACGACCGGACCCCCCCAAAAAAAAGAAAGAAGGAAAAAGGGGCTGGGAATGTGGCTTAGTGGTAGAGTGCTTGCCTTGCATGCATGAAGCTCTGGGCTCAATTCCTCAGTTCTACATACACAGAAAAAGTCAGAAGTGGTGCTGTGGCTCAAGTGGTAGAGTGCTAGCCTTGAGCAAAAGAAGCTCAGGGACAGTGCTCAGGTCGTGAGAGTCCCAGGACTGGCAAAAAAAAAGAAAAAAAAAGAAAGAAAGAAGGAAGGAAGGAAAGAAAGAAAAAAGCGGGGCTGGGAAGGTGGCTCAGTGGTAGAGTGCTTGCCTTGCATGCATGAGGCCCTGGGTTCAATTCCTCAGCACCACATAAAAAAAAAAAAAAAAAAAAAAAAAGGAAAAAGTTGAGAGACATAGCTCATGTGTGGTAACCTTAGCTACTCAGGGGATAAAGTTCAAGGCCAGCCTGGGCAAAAAGAGAGTCAAAGAGTCCATCCATCTCAGTCTAGAGAAACTGATGCCAGAATGGAGGTGTGGCTCAAGTGGTAGAGCGCCAGCTGTGAGCAAGCTGAGGGAGAGCATTAAGCCTGGAGTTCAAGCCTCTGTACCAGCAAAATCATAATCATAAGGAAAAGCTGAGTAGAGTGCCATGATCCTGCCATTCCAGCTATATAGGAAGGGCAAATGATCCAGGCTTACTTGGGCAAAAACAGAAGGCTTTATTTGAAAAAGAAAAAAGCAAAAGGAGATGGAGGTGTGTCCCAAGTGGTAGAGCACCTGCCTACCAAACACAAGGACCTGAGTTCAAATCCTATTACAGGGCTGGAAAGGTGGCTCAGTGGTAGAGTGCTTGCCTTGCATGCATGAGGTCCTGGATTCCATTCCTCAGCACCACCTAAGCAGAAAAAGCCAGAAGTGGCGCTGTGGCTCAAGTGGTAGAGTGCTAGCTATGAGCTGAAGAGCTCAGGAACAGTGTGCTGGCCCAGAGTTCAGGCCCCACAACTGTCCCCCACCAAAAAAAAAAATCCTAGTGCAAGGAGGAAGAGGAGAAGGAATAATAATATGGGTACATTAATCTGCTAACAAAGCCATACTTCTCTCAGCACAGAGCTCAGCCTGTGTCCTGCAACTCAGCCATGTGAGGAAGAATATTTACTAACCCACCATCCTTCACCCTTTCACTCAAAGGAGTTGGTTGGCAGTGAGGGCAGAATGAGCCAATCTTCTTTGGCCTTACAAGTGGCTGTAAGGGGTATATTGTTCAATAAGCCTTCAGCTAACAAAGCGCACTAGTGTGATATTTTGGAAGGATATCTTCCCCCAGTACTACTTATTGTGAGCGGCCCCGGGGCCAGCTTCATAAGGTAACTACCATTGTCCACTCAGGCATGGTGAATGGGAGGAGGCTACTCTCAAAGTTATCTCTGGTGAAAAAAATCTGTTGCCTGAAATAAACAAGACAAGAGTTCAATTAGGACCAATGTGCCATTCCAACAAAGCTCCTGATTTGATATTATTGTTTTGACGACATTAATCTTTATAGCCTGCTGGTTGGCTTATTTTTTATTAGCATATATTAGTTGTATAAGAAGAGTTTCACTGTGACATTTCCACACATGCATACAACGTCCCCCATCAACCTCACCCTTCCATGTCTTGCTCATCCTGCTTTCCCTTCTTAAAACAGTATCAGAGCTGGGAATGAGGCTTAGTGGTAGAGTGCTTGCCTAGCACGCACGAAGTCCTGGGTTGGATTCTTCAGTACTACATAAACGAAAAAAGCCTGAAGTGGCACTGTGGATCAAGTGGTAGAGTGCTAGCCTTGAGAAAAAGAAGCTCATGGACAGTGCCCAGACCCTGAGTTCAAGCCCCAGGACTGGCAAAACAACAACAACGACCCAGTATCAACAAGTTTCTTTGTTCTATACATGGCCTGGTTTTTTTGCTCAAAGCTGGAAATCTTCCATTTGAACCACAGCTTCACTTCCGGCTTTTTGGTGCTTAATTAGAAATAAAGAGTCTCCTGGACTTTCCTGCCTGCCTGGGCAAGAAAAGTGGTCACTTACCCTAGATACACAGCTATATTTCTCTCACAAGGATGTCTAAGCAAGACAGTCGTAGAAGAGAAACGCAGAAATTCCTACAAAGAGAATCACAAGGTCTTAATAAAATCACCAGTGACAAATAGCAGCTAAAACCATTTCCTACTGTGTACCATTAGAAATAGGAAGGGCAAAGTCTCAATCAGAAAGGCAGCTTGCACTCATAACTTTTTTTCCTGTTGTGTTTTTGGCCAGGAGTCTCACTATGGTACCCAGACTGACCTCAAATTCAAGTCCTCCTCTGCCTTAGCCTCCAAGTAGTTGTGTGACTGTAGGTGTATGGGCCCCCTACCTGGCCTCCTTTTCCAGTTTTGATGCAGTGTTATATCAGATAGCTGGAGGGGGAGGGGAGTGGGGAAGTTTGGGAAGTTTTCCTGGAACCTGTTTAGATTGTCTTTACAGTGTGCTATGGATCTATAGCCAAATAAAAAGCTTCCCCCTCCCTCCCCAGGTTTGGTTTGTGCTACTAGTACTGGTGGCTCACATCTGTAATCCTACCTACTCAGGAGGCTGAGATCTGAGGCTTCCAGTTCAAAGCCAACCTGGGAAGGAAAGTCCATGAGACTCATCTCCAATGAACCAGCTAAAGGCCAGAAGCAGAGCTGTAGCTCAAGTGGTAGAACACTAGTCTTGAGGAAAAAAACTAAGGGACAGTGCCTGAGCCCTGAGTTCAAGCCCCAATATCAGTGAGCACACACACACATAAAAAAAAAAAAAACCCACAAAGTATCCAGGCATGGTGACCCAAGCCCGTAATTCTAGGAGGGAGAGGCAGGAGGATCTTGAAGGCTAAGCTGGCTCTCTCAAGTAATTACAGCTATGAGGGGAAGGCTTAGATAAGAGAATCCAATTATCTTGCCCATGTAATTGTAACCCCTCTGTACAGTATTTTCACACACACACAAAAAAATACTATCCCCATGGGGGGAAAAAAAAAAGAAGAGAGAATCCAAGGCTGGCCCTTAGGATAAAACTGTGGGACACTATTTAGAAAAGAAAAAATAATAATAATAAGCTGAGTGCTGGTGTCTAAGCCACTCAAACTACTCAGGAGGCCAAGATCTGAGGATTGCCGTTCAAAGCCAGCCTAGACAGTAAAGTCTGTGAGACTCTTAGCTCCAATTAACCACCAAAAAGCCAGAAGTGGAGCTGTGGCTCAAGTGGTAGAGTGCTAACCTTGAGCAAAAAGCTCAAGGACAACATCCAAGCCCTGAATTCAAGCCCCAGAACCAATACACACACACACACTAAATAATTGAAATATAAGCAATGATAGCCCTAGAGTGGCTGAAGTGGTACAGTGCCTACTTATGAAATTGCAAGACCCTGAATTAAATCCTCAACACCACAACAAAACAACAACACAACAACAAAAACCCTTAACTCTAAGGGCTGGACAAAGGGGGTATTCCTAAATCCTCAATACAAAAACTGGCACTCAAAAAATATTAGACCTACTGCTGTAGCTCAGTGCTGCATCGGTGCCTAGTAGACGTGAGACCTGGGGGGGGTTCACCCCCACAGCACCACAAACAGCAGCCCCCCCCACACACACCAAAAAAGGTAAAAAGATTAAAAGAAAGAAAAAGAAAATTCCGGTGCAGGAATTCGATTAGATGGGGTGCAGGGAGTGTGGGGTGGGGAGCCACATACCCTTTGGGCTTGCTTGGAAACATTAAACACTTTTCCTGTCCTCACTGTGCGGGTGCTGGAGGGAGGGACAAGGAGACAGCTTGTCGTGGGCCTGCGTGTGTAGCTGTCTGTGGATGTGTGAGTGTGTGTGTGTACCTGTGTGTGTGTGTACCCCTTTCATCCTGGCCCACTGGTCACAGGACAACAGGGCAAAGCCTGAGGTGGGGGACAGGGAGACGACCTGGGGGGGGGAGAGCAGGGAAGGGGTGACCCAGTGAGGGACTAAGGGGGGGAGGCGGCCTGGGGGGGGGGAGGGAGAGGGGGAGTGTCGCCGGGGGTGGTTGTTTAGGGGGGGGGGGGGGCGGGGGGGGGGGCCCGGGGGGGGGAGTAGGGGGGGGGGGCGGCGGGGGGGGGTCCCCGAGCAGGGAGGGGCTGACGGTGAGTGACAGGCCTGGACCAGGAGGGGAGGCAGGGCTCAGTCAACCCTCAGTGAATCCCAGCAGCACCCCATTCCCGGGAAGTCCGCCCCACCGGCACAGAGTCTGAGCTCTGGCCAGCGGCCAAGGTCTCATCATGGCTGCCGCCGCCACCATCACCATCAGCGACCACACCAACATCTCTCCCGCCAACACTTCTCCTCAACCGCCGCGCGTGGGGGGGGGGGGGGGGAGGCGGCAGGGCAGGAACACTCCACAGAGTCTGAGCATGCGCACCAACGAGCCTCTCTGCCTGGGCATGCGCACCAGGCAGAACGTGGCACACTGCTTGAACTCTAGACATGCGCACACCTCCTTGGAAAGCCCAACTCCACCGTCACCTGGCCCCAGCGGCTGAGCGCGCATGCGCAGGTTCTGCCACCCACATGCCTGAAGCGTGTGTCTGACTCTGTTGTCAAATGCTCGAAGGTTGCACTTGAAGGATTCATTAGGTGTACAAAAGGAGTTTCTCCGTGACATTTCCACACGTTTATTTGTTTTTATTTGTGGAGGTAGACACCAAATTTAGGAGTAAAGCAGAGATAGAAGGCTAGCATTGACACAGGGCTGGGTGCAGCACATCTGATAGTAGGCCACACGTTTATTTTTACAATACATACCGATCATCCTCCGTCTTAATCCTGCTTTTGTGTAGGAGAGGGTGGGGAGAGGCTTGAACTCAGGACTTCACATTAAAAAAATTGTATTGCTGGGGGGGGGGCAGGGGGAGGATGGGAAGGGATGGGAGGGGGAAACAAAGGAGGCTACAGTGCTTGATAAGAAATATACTCATTATCTTGCCCATGTAATTGTAACCCCTCTGTACAATATTTTCACAATAAAAAAATTATATGGCTAGGAAGGTGGCTCAGTGGTAGAGCGCTTGCCTTGCATGCATGAGGCCCTGGGTTCAATTCCTCAGCACCACATAAGCAAAAAGAAAAAGCCAGAAGTGGCGCTGTGGCGCAAGTGGTAGAGCACTAGCCTTGAGCTGAAGAGCTGAGGGACAGAGCCCAGGCCCAGAGTTCAGGCCCCATGACCGGACCCCCCCCCAAAAAAAAAATTGTATTGCTGTTATGAAGTTGTACAGAGGGGTTACCACTTCATAAGCCAAGTAATGAGTACATTTCTTTCTTTCTTTCTTTCTTTTTTTGACAATGTCACCCCTACTTTTGTTTTCTGGACTTCACATTCTGTTTGTGCTCAAGGCTGGTTACCACTTGAGCTACATCTCCACTTCTGGCCTTTTGGTGGTTAAAGAGTCTATCAGATTAATCTTCTCAGTCTGGTTTTTTTTTAATTTAATTTAATTTTATTTGTGAACATACTGTACAGAGGAGTTACAATTACATGGGCAGGATAATGCATACATTTCTTACCAAGCATTGCAGCCTCCTCTTTTGTTTACCCTTCACATCCCTTCCCAGCCTCCCCCCTCCCCCCTCTCAGTCTGGTTTTAAACCACACTCCTCAGATCTCAGACCCTCTGATTACCTTGGATTACAGGCACAAACCACTGTCACCTGGCCTATTCGTGCTTCTTAAAGCTCAAGAGTTTTCATTGTTCTGTTTTCAGATACGCAAATAAACACAGATCATCATTCATCTTCATTTACAGTCTTCCTTTTTACTTTCCTGTCATTCATTCATTCATTTATTTTATTTTTTAAAATTTTTTTGTCAGTCGTGGGGCCCGAACTCTGGGCCTAGACGCTGTCCCTCAGCTCTTTAGCTAAAGGCGTGTGCTCTACCACTTGAGCCACAGTGCCCCTTTTGGCTTTTTCTGCTTATGTGGTGCTGAGGAATTGAACCCAGGGCCTCATGCATGCAAGGCAAGCACTCTACCACTGAGCCACCTTCCCAGCCCGATTCATTTGTTTTAAAATTTTATTTATTTTTTATTTAGTGTCCATTGTTACACCAGTTTCACTCTCTGGGGCGCTGGTGAATATCCACAATCTTCTAGGTAGCCAGAAGAAGCCTGAAGCACCCTAGGTGGGAAGCAAAAGGTTGATAAGTTCCAGAGTACATGCTTAGTAAGACAGAGACCTTGAGTTCAAATCCCAGTACCTACAAATTAAAAGGAAGCTGAAGCCAGGCGTTGGTGGCTCACACCTGTAATCCTAGCTACTCAGGAGCCTGAGATCTGAGGATCACGGTTCAAAGCCAGCCCAGGCAGGAAAGTCCAGGAGACTCTTATCTCTAATGAACCACCAGAAAACCAGAAGTGGTGCTGTAGCTCAAGTGGTGGAGTGCTAGCCTGGAGCTGAAGAGCTGAGGGACAGCACCCAAGTCCAGAGTTCAAACCCCAAGACCTGGGGGTGGGGTGGGGTGGAGGGAGGAAAAGAGGGAAGTGGAAGCCCTGCCCACCGGCGCCACAGAAGCTCCGCCCCTAGAGGCCACGCCTCTCCAGGACCCGCCCCCTCCGGACCACGCCCCCTCCAGGGCCACGCCCCGTGGACAGTTCCGTCTAGGGCCACGCGCCTGGCGTCACGTGCGCAACAGCCTAGGGAGCGGAAATGACGCAAGCCCGGTGCGCCGCCAGTATGGCTGGGCCATGGCGGCGAGCACAGGTTACGTGCGGCTGTGGGGTGCTGCGCGGTGCTGGGCCCTGCGGCGGCCGCTGCTGGCCGCCACCGGGAGGCGGGCCCCGTCCGCGTCCGGAGCCTGGTTGCCCAGAGGCCGGCGGGCCTGCGACGCCTCGCCTCCTTGGGCGCTTTGGGGCCGAGGCCCGGCGGCCGCGGGCCAGCGGCGAGCGCTGTGGGAGGGGAGCAACCGCGGCCACGGGTCTTTCTCGGGCGGCGAGGACGCCTCGGAAGGTGGCGCAGAGGAAGGGTCTGGGAGCCCGGGGGGCAGCTCGGGCGGCGGGGAAGGGCCGGTCATAACGGCACTCACGCCCATGACGATCCCGGACGTGTTCCCGCACTTACCGCTCATCGCCATCACCCGCAACCCGGTGTTCCCGCGCTTTATCAAGATCGTGGAGGTAACGAGAGCCCCCCGCCCCGGCCTTGTGTGCGGGCAGCAGGGATGGGCCGAGGGGGTCGCCGAGCGCCCTCGTGCCTCTAATCTTTAACGACACACCTGATTCTCAAAAGGCTGGTGTGGGGCTCCCGGTCCTCTCCACACTGATTCTTCCCCTTACGGGAACCCAGTGAGCTTAGTTAGGTATGTCCTGTTGATTGAAATCTGGGAGGGACCAGCCGTAAAAGTTTTTTTGCGGCAGTTTCTTGGGCAGCAGCTGCAGAGCCTAGTTGGAAGATTCGTCCTCGCGTTAAACAAGTATCTCTTTCCTTCTTCCCTTATATCAGCCACAGTTGTAGACACTCTGGATACAAAAATGGCTGTCTTTGGAGCTTACATTCTAGCGGATCAGAGTGCTTGAAGCCGAGATTAACGGCTGGAAATGAGCCAGAGGCTGGAGGGATGGGGGAGAGGACAAGTTGTCTTCCACAGCGTTGTGGACCTGTGCCCTCTGCCAGGCTTTGGGAACACCAACAAGCCAAACAGTGCCACCGAAGAACCACAATTCTGGTAGAAGAGACAGTAAACCAATAAGATGCTTTCAGAGTAAGAGCCATGAGGAGGTAGGGAAAGTAGGGTGATGTAACAGGGAGAAAGCCACAAGCTTTCAGAGTGGTGTGCACTCAAATGCCCTCCCCCTCCCATCCCTTCACCATTGTTGTTTTCAACTGCCGTGGAAACTCAAATCATGGAGCAGAAAGGTTATCAGCTGTATAAGCAAGGTCATATGATGAATCAGCCTCCACATCCTTTCCCCAAGCCACTCTGCCAAGTCAATCTCAAGGATCCCTGGGAAAGGAAAAACCCAGAACAGAAGGGCAGCAGCAGCAGCCTGCTATTGGGGGTGCTCACAGATGGGGTCCCTCTGCCCTCCCAGTGTGTATCTGAGCTGCTCATCTTTGTGAGTAGTTAGTGAAAGGGACCCACGGTCAATCTCTGTGGGTCATCTTGTGGCTCCAACTTTCCCTAACAAGTTGGCTCCTTGGAAAAGGAGTTGTGGGAGTTGCATGCAAGTACTGTGTGGAAAGGATTTGCAGTACTGTGTCCAGCATTTAGTTGTTTCAGCTATAAGCTGCTGCCGTTCCTGCCTACTGAAGGAAGTGATCACTTACTCAAGATGTTCTTCATAAAAGAATCCAGGATGTCAGAGTTAATGGAAAGCCTTGGTGATGTTTCAGAACTTCTCCCTGGAGGCCTTTATCTCTATGAGCAACTCCACTTTCAGCATCTCTTGTACCTTCCCAGGCTCCTAGGGTCAGGACTGAGCACCTTGTCTGGCCCCCTCAGCCTTGCTAGGTGACAGGTGCCTTGCTGCAGCACCTGAGAAGAGAGATGAATCTTCTAAGAGCTCTTTCTGCCACATGAGTCACAACTAGCCACACAAAGCCTGGGAGGGGAAGGCGGGGAGGCGCCAGGGGGAGGCATTACCCAAGTTGTGTGTAATATTAGGCAGGCATATGGTCGTTTCTGATTTGCTCTTAGTGTTACTTAGTAAATAAGAACGGGACTCTGCCAGGGTGGGGGCAAAGAGGAGAGACAGTTTCAGGATGCATTTGTCAGCTCTTGGCAGAAAGTGAGTTAGGAGCCACTGCTTTGGGACCCCTAAGTGTTTGTGGGCCTCTTAGCAAAGCTCCATTTAGTTTGTAACTGATACCCTGTGGCTAACTTGCTCTAATAGCTTCTGTTCTTATTGGTGGCCTCTGAGTATAGAGCAGGGGCCCTGTCTAGAGTAGTGTCAGGTAATCTTGGACCCCAAGTGGAGTTAAACACTGTGGCTCCCTGGAGCCACAGTGTCACCGTCATCCAGGAGCTTGTTTGAAAGGCAAGTGGCCAGCCTGAGCCCCCATGAATCAGGAATCGCATAGCCGTGAGGGTTAACAAGTTTCTGCTGATGGTCATGCCTGCCACAGTTCCATGCCCAGCCTGCAACTCAAGGCAGGCTTGAAAGTAGCGTTGACCTTCTAGAAGACAACAATAGCCTTGAACTTGGTTTTGAAATGACATGGAGAATGTGCCGTGGTGGTGGGGGTAGAAGATCAGTGAGTTGCACAGGGGTGTCATTACAAAATGGTCCCATGGAGACTGAAGAAGTTAGCAGCCTGTGGGACAACCATATTTGAATTTCACACGTGCATGTTGGGTTGTTTTTGTGTATCCCAGGCTGACCTGCAACTCAAGGTCCTCCCCCAGCCTCCCAACTAGTAGGAATATATGTATGAACCATCAGCAAACACAGCTTTGTCCTGACAGTAATAAAAGCAGAGTAGTAGTGATTTTCAAACATTTTGCCACTGAAATTGGTTTTGTATCTGGTTTAATTAGTTTTTTGACTCGCCATTTCTGTGCTTTGGAGGGGGCGTGGCCACTAAGGAATACATCTAGTTTATGTCATTACTCCTGTCAGTCCCTGTTTCCTTTCATTAATGTCCTGGGTTGAATTTACCATGTTGTCAGAGAATATAATCTTTTTTTTTTTCTTTTTTTGTCAGTCATGGGGCTTGAACTCGGCCTGGGCACTGTCCCTGAGCTCTTCAGCTCCACTTAAGTGGAGATAAGTCTTACAGGCAGGGCGCAGGTGGCGCATGCCTGTAATCCTAGCTACACAAGAGGCTGAGATCTGAGGATTGTAGTTGAAAGCCAGCCTGGGCAGGAAAGTCCATGAGACTTATCTTCAATTAACCATCATAAAACTGGAAGTGGCGCTGTGGCTCAAGTGGTAGAGCACTCGCCTTGACCTGAGGAGCTCAGGGACAGCGCCCAGGCCCAGAGTTCAAACCCCACTAGCCAAAAAAAAAAAAAAAAAGTCACAGACTTTCCTGCCCAGGATGGCTGAGTAGCTAGGATTACAGGCATGAGCCACTGACACCCGGCTCAGAATAATCTTGGAAAGTGTAGCTAGAAGCCATAGCATGGCCGTGTCTCACTCTGACATCATTGTCATGCTAGGTTAAAAATAAGAAGTTGGTTGAGCTGCTGAGAAGGAAAGTTCGTCTGGCCCAGCCATATGTTGGCGTGTTCCTAAAGAGAGATGACAAGTAAGTGTCATTGCCCTCTGTCCCCCCACCCTACCCCCAAAGCCACCCTGATTTACCATGGCCCCTAGAGTAATTTGTGCCCCTTTTCCAACCTTGACATAAAGGCAAGACCAAGTGCTGGGTAGAGGATTTGGCATTAAACATCAGTGCACTGGACTCATGGGGAGTGCTGGCACACAGCCCTGGGTTTCACCCCGGTACTGCACACTTAGTTTACACATCGTCTGGATTGGGGAAACAACCTTGAGTCCCCTTAGAATGACTTCATAGCAGAGTGAGCCAAGCCAGTACATTCACCTCACTCCAGGTAAAAACCATCCAATTGCTGGGCATCAGTGACTCATACCTGTAATCCTAGCTACTCAGGAGGCTGAGATGTGAGGATCACAGTTCAAAGCCAGCCGGAGCAGGAAAGTCCATGAAACTCTTATCTCCAATGAACCACTAGAAAACTGGAAGTGGCACTGTGGCTCAAGCGGTAGAGTGCTTGCCTTGAGCTGAAGAGCACAGGGACAGTGCCCAAGCCCAGAGTTCAAGCTGCACAACCAACAAAAACAACCCAACTGCCAAGTCCCATGTTCCCAGTAAGACCCCTAAAGGCTGTGTCCTTTCAGTGGGCCAGGGTGGAGGTGAGGAGGGTGGAAGCCTTCCTTGTGGCTGACACCTGCCACTTGTGTGCCATCCCTGTGGTGGGGTGTGCCCAGCACTCCTGTGGGAAGCCTGGGAGAGGCTGTTCTGCAGTTTTGGTAGTGGCCTGTAGGGGCGTTTCTTCTCTCTCCCTCCTCCCTCTCAGCCCGGGACATCCCTCTGCGCATAAGCATGGCGCACCAACGCGCCCTTGTGTTGGTCTCCCTCAGCAATGAGTCTGACGTGGTGGAAAGCCTGGACGAGGTCTACCACACGGGCACCTTCGCCCAGATCCATGAGATGCAGGACCTCGGGGACAAGCTGCGCATGATCGTCACGGGGCACAGAAGGTGTGTGGGAGCCTGAGATGGCAGAAAGCAGCCCTCCGGGAGAGCCCCGGGCCCCCTCAGCAGCCCCCTTGTTGGTCAGCTCTGTGGGTCCCTCGCTGGTACTGGGAACCTTCCTCAGAAAGTGGTGGGTATGGGGCTGGGAAGGTGGCTCAGTGGTAGAGCACTTGCCTTGCATGCCAGAGGTCCTGGGTTCAATTCCTCAGCAGCACATAAGCAAAAAGAAAAAAGCTGGAAGTGGTGCTGTGGCCCAAGTGGTAGAGCTCTAGCCTTGAGCTGAAGAGCTGAGGGACAGTGCCCAGACCCAGAGTTCAGGCCCCAGGACCGGACCCAAAAAAAAAGAAAGTGGCGGGTTCTTTCTTAGATGGCCTCTGTGGTGGTGGCCGTGGCTATCACAGCCTGGGTTCTGAGGGCCGGTCGCACGCACCCGCAACATTCAACATTCAGATGGCTTCTGATTGTGGTGCTGTAATGTGTGGGTTTTGTTTCTGGCGGACTGTCCATGTCGTTTGCAATCCCATGCTGCTCATGGCTGATGGATGGTTGAAGGGGCAGCTCTGGGCTCCAGCTCTGCCCAGGATGGTTGAGCAGAGAGCACGCTGCCTGCCGGGTCCTGCAGCTGCCTTCCAGCCCCCGCTCGGCAGCACAGTAAGGTTCTGGCAAGCCTCTGGTTGGGTTTTGTTGCGTCTAAAGGCCTGTGTCAGAACAGCTCACAGGTTCCCTCAGCTAGAGGGACCCAGAACCCACTCAGGAATTGGCCCAGGTATGCTAAAGGCTGTGTCCTGTCCCATGCTGCCAGGCCTGTCCCATCTGCTTTCAGTGGGCCAGGGTGGAGGTGAACCTCCCCAGCCCCCCAGCCCCCATGCTGTCCCAGAGAAGTTACTTCCCAGAGAGGCCTGATTCAGAGTCAGTAGGATCACTGTGTCATATGCCTCTACACTAGCATTCTGGAGACTAAAGCAGAAAATTTGAGATCCAAAGCCAGCCTGAGTTCATAGCTGTGAGCTCCTAGCAAGATCCTGTCTGGAAAAAGACAGCTGCCATGGGCGAGCTCAGCTGGCTCTGTCCTTAGTCACCCAGCCTCCCAGCTGCTTGCTAGAGGGAAGTATTCAGGGAAAGGAAGGTTGTGAAGGATGCAGACTCTTTTCTTAGTGTTTTCTAAACGGTACAGTGTAACAGCTGCTGACAGTGCTTACATTGTATCAGGCTTCCTAAGTCATCTGAGGTGGTGTGGGCAGGTTCCTCACCCCTTCCTGTGTTACATGTATACAGTGAGTGGAGTGGAGCGGCTGCTGGTGTTCCCTGGACACTGGGGCAACTGCCCTGCCCCGCCCCTGCACTGCTCAGGTGCTTGACTGGCTTTCGGGTACCCACAGCCTGGCCTGCTCCCTGCTTCCTTCACCCTGGGGGCTTGCTAATTGTCAGGAGGCAGTCAGCCAGGCTGAGTGGATCCTGGGTGGTTTTCAGGCCACCTGTGAAGAAGGTACCACTCTTCCCCGTGTGTGTGGGGGGGTGAGGGGGGGTGGGGTGGAGACTTGGCTGCTCTGTGTGTGTGTGTGTCTGTGTGTCTGTGTGTGTGTGTGTGTGTGTGTGTGTGTGTGTGTGTGTGTGTGTGTGTGTGTGTGTGGACTTGGCTGCTGTCTCTGGGCTGCCAAGATTGCTGCATAGGGCTCACTTTTGTCCAGCCAGCATCCTGAGTGGGGAGGCACAGGTGTAAGCAATGAGGTTAGGTGCTCATGGTAGCTGGAGCATGGGAGAGACAGACATGGACAGGGCTGACCTGGCATAGGGGCATCTGCCATGATCCTAGCACTCTGGAGGCTGAGGGAGAATTGCTAGTAGAATTGCTAGGCTACACAGTCTGAGCTGTGTAAGAAGTGAGATCCTACCTCAAAAGAAACACCACCAAAACCCCAGTGTGGTGGCTTATACTCATAAATCTAGGCTACTAGGGAGTTTGAGATTGGGAGGATTGTGATTCAAAGCTAGCCTGGACAAAAGTGCCACTGTCTAAACCAACAAGCTCGGCGTGGTGGTGTCCACCTGTCACCCTAGCTACAAGGGAGGTTATAGGTAGGATTGTGCCAGTCCCGGGCAAAAAAAAGGGGCGAGGATGCAGGCTCAGGCCCTGAGTTCAAAGCCCAAAAAGGGAAGGGTGGGAATGTGTGGGCCAACTCCCTGTGCAGAGGTGCAGGGGTGCTGGTGTGGAGGTCAGGGGACTGCAGGGAGGGGGCTCTGGCTGATGAGCTGAAGGCCAAGGACAGGGCAGCCATGGTGCTCCCTTCCCTAGCTCTTCCCAGAATGTTCCATGTGCTCTGGAACATAGATAAGGTGGGGTGGGGCTCTGGGGGTCTCCAGTTTGGGGGCCAGCAGGTACCCACAAGGGTGGCTGTTCTGCTTCTTGTCAGGATTCGCATCAGCAGACAGCTGGAGGTGGAGCCCGAGGAGCCTGAGGCGGGCAATAAGCAGAAGCCGCGCAGGAAGGCCAAGCGCGGCAAGAAGGAGGCGGAGGAAGACCCAGCCGCCAAGCTGCAGCTGGAGGTGGCCATGGAGCCCGCCGATGCCCCCAGCGAGGTGCTCATGGTGGAAGTGGAGAACGTGGTCCATGAAGACTTCCAGGTCACTGAGGAGGTGAAGGTGAGTGCTGCACCGAGCCTCCCTCCCTCCCTCCCTCCCTCTCTCTCTCTTTCCCTCCCTCCTCCCCATGTCTCCACTCCACAGCCCTCTAAGTAGCTGGGAGACAGGAGCCCACAGAGGCTTTGAGCTGATCCCCTTTAGGTACCAGTGTCCCAGAAGGCCTTGGGTGCTCTGAGCTCCAAAGTCCTGTAATCGGTTGGTGATGTCTGCTCCAGTCCCTGAAGGTCGAGGTTGCTTTTGCCACTGGCCTGGTCAATGCCTTGTTCGTGGGGTTCCTCTGCCCCACAGGTCCACACTGTGGCAGGTCAGGTGCCTTCTGACCCATGATGCTGAGGACAGGATGTGGACGTCATTTGATTTTTACCTCCTGATTTTCCCCATGGCTGTACTGTCATTACTGCCCATGAAAACTTTGTGATATGGAAGGAAAGGCCCACGACTGAGCCTCAGCCACTGAGATGAGAAAGGCCAGGACCCCTGAGACACAGTCTGGCCAAAGCTGGAGACTGAAAGCCAGGCAAGGGTGGTGTTTGGCTTGGCTGGGCGGCTGCAGCCCTGTAGAGGAGCCTCTCAGTCTCTGCAGAGCCTGGCCAACATTCCTGGAGATGGTTGCTGAGAGCCCTAGTGATGGACAGGTTCAGCCCACAGGACAAGGCCGAGCTGGGACAGAGGTGGAGGGAGGTGTGGCTGCAGCATTTAAACACAGGAGAGGCCGGGGCAGGAGGGTCACCAGTTCCAGGCCAGCCCGGGCTGCACATGTAAAAAAAAAAAAAATAATAAACACAGAGCAGAAACTAGCCACCCTCGTTCTCCTGTCTGTCGTATCAGGACTGACCCAGCGGTCTGAGAGGCAGGCTTTCCTTTTTACACAAATCCCTTTGCCCTGATGACCTTGGGTTCCTACTCTGGCCCCGGGGCTGGTGGAGCAGGAGGTAGGGCAAAGTGCCAGGGCTGTGCTCCCTGTGTGGGGGACTTCACGCCTGTCTTGGTCTCCTCGCCAGGCACTGACTGCTGAGATTGTGAAGACCATCCGGGACATTATCGCCTTGAACCCTCTCTACAGGTCAGTGTCCCACGCCAGGGCCTTTCTGCAGCTGCCCCGCAGCAAATGGGATCTGAGGCCAGGGCTCCTGGCTCAGTGACATCCTGTGTGTGGGGAGAGTGTGTGTGTGTGTGGGGGGGTTAATGACCCCTCATGCTGCAGCCAAGGTACTCTGTCCTGCCCCTTGGGTTTGGCTATTAGCTGGTAAGAGATGCTTTTAAGGGATAGGGTTTGGCCGTAGCTGAGGAGGTGTCTAATAAGGGACAGGTGTCATGGCGGCAGACGGGCTGCCACTGTGACTCAAGGGCCTTACCCAAAGCCAGTGGAGTGTGGGGCCTGCGGCCTGCCTCGGGCCAGCCCCAGGCCCCACTGTGCTGGTGGTTTCAGAGAGTCGGTGCTGCAGATGATGCAGGCAGGCCAGAGGGTGGTGGACAACCCCATCTACCTGAGCGACATGGGGGCCGCGCTCACGGGGGCTGAGTCCCACGAGCTACAGGACGTGCTGGAGGAGACTAATGTGAGTACCTGCCGCACCTGCACAGGGGCCACCGCAGCGAGTGTCTAGCCATCTCTGGCTGCCTGCACCCTGTCTGAGTGGGGCTGTGGTATTGGCAGGGGTTAGGATGAGGGCGTCTGGGTCAGCACTGGCCCCCATGCTCCTGAGGCAGCCAGGCCCCTGGGCCCTTCTGTGTAATGCGCCCCAGTGCATGGTACGGCTGGCAGCCTGCTTCCTGGGACAGCGAGCCCTGACCACAATCCACGCCCTGCCCTGCAGATCCCCAAGCGGCTGTACAAGGCCCTCTCCCTCCTGAAGAAGGAGTTTGAGCTGAGCAAGCTACAGCAGCGCCTGGGCCGTGAGGTGAGGGGGGTGGCCAGGGCCCCTGCACAGACGGGTGGGTTGGGAGTCTGGGTCTGATTGTCATTTCAGCTGCTCTGCAACTCCTGGGCTCCACCTCTCCCACCTCAGACACCGAGCTGCTGGGCTTTGCTTCCATCCTGTTGTATTTTTGTTTTTTTTGTACAATGGGGTTTGAATTGAAGGTCTTGTGTGTGCCAGCCAGGTGCTGTGTTATGTCCCCAGTCTTTTATCCCTAGGGCCAATCTTGGATTATTATCCTCCTATGTACACCTCCTGTGTAGTTGAGATAGCAGTGCAGGCCACCATGCTAAGCTTCTTGGTTGAGATGAGGTCTCACTACTTTGGCTGAGGCTGGCCACGGTCTTCCCAATCGCCACCTCCTGAGAGTAGCCGGGATTACAGCTGCGAATGACCATGCCAGGCTAGTTTTAGTTGAGGTAAAATTCATCCCTTCATCCCATCTTTGAGCACCTAGCACATCTGGCTGTGGTTAAGGGTAGATGGCCAAACAATCCTGAGCACTGAAGGAGGCTGGGGGGCCAGGCCTGGTCAGTTTGGAAAACAGGGAACTTCTTCCTTTGGGTTATAAAGAGGAGGACTGGTGTCAGCTCAGCAGTGAGCTCTTAACCTGCCCCATACAATGCCGGGGCCTCTATCCCCAGACTGCAAAAGAGGAAGAAGGAAAGGACTGGAGACTTAGGGCTCCCGGTTTCTCTTCTGAGCCCTGAAAGGTGAGGGAGGGGTCTGTTCAGCTGAACCCCAGCCCTGCCCTCTTCTCCTTCCCCCGTCCCTTTGTGCTGATGACTCAGTAGTCCCCATATGACCCACCCCAAGTGGAGTGCCTGTCCCAGTCAGACCCTCCCCTTCTGAGTGCCCCACCCTGCCCGGCTCCAGGTGGAGGAGAAGATCAAGCAGACACACCGCAAGTACCTGCTGCAGGAGCAGCTGAAGATCATCAAGAAGGAGCTGGGGCTGGAGAAAGAGGACAAGGATGCCATCGAGGAAAAGTTCCGGGAGCGGCTCAAGGAGCTGGTGGTACCCAAGCACGTGATGGACGTGGTGGATGAGGAGCTGAGCAAGCTGGGGCTGCTGGACAACCACTCCTCGGAGTTCAAGTATGGCTGCCTGGCCCTCATGCTAGACAGGAAGGAGCAGGGTCCGGGCACCACGCTGCGCCTGCATCTGGCCCAGGCCAACTGCCGCCTCATCTCGGCTGTTCTGTGCCTGACGTTGGGACCCGGGGGTTGAGTTCCTGTGGGAATCTTGGTGGCACTTGTGTTCCACACAACAGACACCTGCTGCCACAGAACTGCTTGCTGCTTACCAAGGCAGCTCTTGAGCCAGGGCGTCCCCGCAGAGTGCCTCCCAGGAAGGGTTGGATGACACTAAGTATACTTGGTGCCCTGGAGCTTTCTCCTTTTTCCCCCTTGGGTGGCGGGCAAGATTACACTGCTTTGCCAACGGCCCAGAAAACCAGGACCTTGAAATGCCTCCAGTGGCCCCAGGTGGTGCTGAAGTCTAGCAGAGCCTCCCTGAGCAGAGTGCCTGTGGGTGGGGCAGGGCTGACTCCTTCCCAGCCTCTCTGCTGCCTGTTTGTGTCCAGAGGCCCCGCCTCCCTTCACTGTGGCCTTTCCCCCCCTTGTCAAAGCAGCAGTGCAGTGTCTCGCAGTCTCCACCCACCGCCTCCTCTCATAAGGGCGCGGTGGGGACGCTGGGCCTGGACAGTCCCTATTGAGATTGGTAATTTACCCTCTCCTCGATGCTGCGTGAGGTAGCAGAGGGTCCATGGCACAGCTCCATCCTCCAGGCCCCCCAGCAGTCCTGCCTCACCAAGAGGCCTGCACAGGCCCTGCTGCCATCCCCAGGCTTCTCCCAGTGTGCGCGTGTGCACAGGGTGGCTGTGGTGGCCCCAGTCCTTGAGGCCCCCCAGGACATGGTGATAGGGTCACCTAGAGGGAAGTACTAACTGTCCCGCCTTGTCCTGCTTCCCTGGGTTGGTATCCAGGCTCAGAGTGGCACAATAGTTGCCCCAAACGGTAGTAGGCTTGGCCTCTACCTCCTCACTGTTTTGGGAGAGCTTCCCCCATCACCGCTTTGTCCTAGACGCCCAGCCCCCAGGCTGCTGTAGGGCCATCCTGGTGTCCTGCGCAGCCCAGCCCCTCGTGCGTGGCCCAGACCTGCTCACACCCTGTTCTCTGGCAGCGTCACGAGGAACTACCTGGACTGGCTCACGTCCATCCCGTGGGGCAAGCACAGCGACGAGAACCTGGACCTGGTGCGAGCGCAGGCCGTGCTGGAGGAGGACCACTACGGCATGGAGGACGTCAAGAAGCGCATCCTGGTGAGGCTGCCGTCCCGTGTCCTGGGTCCCGGCGTTCAAGGAGATGAGCTGGCTTAGCTTCTGTTCTGGGGCTGCGAGGCCCAGGACTGTGCTAGAGCATGATGCCACATTCGTGCGGGTGCCCTGTGCCCTTGTCATCCCTTCCTGCTCCCAGGCCTGGTCTACCCCAGGGAGATGCCAAGGCCCAGGCCTGCTGTAGTCCAGGTTGGCATGTCACTGCTGAGCCTGTGCTGGGAAGGGCCTACTGGTGGGTTTGGGGGGAGCCGGTAGGGGCCAGGAGAGGGGAAGCACTGCAAACCTGCTCCCCCCTCACAGGGCTGGCTGCTTGCTTGCCAGGTGCGAGATTGGAGGGAGGAGGCAGCAGGCCCTGGGGCTGTGAGGTAGGGCTTTGAGGTGAGGATGGCTGGCAGTGACGGCCCCACTCAGCCACACCCCGGGGGACAGCTCCTTCCTGAAGCTCACAGATGTCCGTAAGGCATTGTGTCCGTGGTGAGCTCCTAGGCCAGGTTCTATTTTAGAAAGGGCAGCCAGGGACTTGGGGTGCCCAGCCAGCCTGCACACTGACCTGCCTCCGCCCCCAGGAGTTCATTGCTGTCAGCCAGCTCCGAGGTTCCACCCAGGGCAAGATCCTCTGCTTCTACGGCCCCCCTGGCGTGGGCAAGACCAGCATCGCCCGCTCCATCGCCCGCGCCCTCAACCGCGAGTACTTCCGCTTCAGCGTGGGCGGCATGACCGACGTGGCTGAGATCAAGGGGCACAGGTGGGTAGAGGCCCCCCAGGTCTTGATACTTCTCTGGGGGTCACTTGACCTGGTGTGGGCTGTGCTGCAGCACAGCATTGGTACACAGCAGGACAGCTCTGCCCCACTCGGCCACCACCGCCGCCTCCTGCTTGCTGTCCGGAGGGCCCAGGCTTGGCTGCCCCTTCGAATAGCGCATGCAGGCCTGGCATCTGGGAGCCCAGTCATTCCCTCCACCAAAGGAAGGCAGCTGAGTGCACTAGTACATGCCTGTTGTCCCGGCTCCCAGAGGAGGCTGGAGAAGCATATACTTTCTCCAGCTGGTGCTGCAGAGCGAGACCCTGGCTCAGAACTACCCAAGAACAAAATAGACTCCCAAGTTTAAAAGGTGGCATTTCTGCCCTCTCTGAACACATTCAGTCCTCCACCCAGGCTGGCTGCAGCCCGGAGAGGCATTACCCAGGTAAAGAGGGCCTGAGGCTGGGAGGGCCCAATCCCTGCAGGCTGAGGGCAGGATCTAAGCAGGAATGGGCACTGGAGAGGCCAGCAGTCCTTCTGCAGCCCCTGGGGAGGAGAGACTGGGCATTCTGAAGGGCTGGGTCTCACCGGGCTGGAGCTGGCCACCACATGGCTATGTCAGCCTGGTTTCAAATCAGGGACATGGACAGGAAGCTGATGATTGAGTGAAAAGGGTCATAATAGCACCAAAATCCCTCTGTCCACAGCCTCCTTTGGCTCCCATCTTTCTGTGTCCTTCCCCAAGCCCACAGGGCCTTGCCCCGCCTTCCTGCCCTCCTCCTCCCTGCTCCCCTCTGCTCAGCCAGGTGGGTCTCCATGCTTTCATATACTGCTGTGGAAGTGCCTCAGGGCCTTTGTGTAAGCTGCGCCCTCTCTCTGAAAGTCTCTTCTGCCATATTCCAGCCTGGCTTCCTCCTCACCTTTGCTCTTAAAAAAATGTCTTTCACAGCTGGGCATTGGTGGCTTACGCCTGTCATCCTAGCTACTCAGGAGGCTGAGATCTGAGGATCACAGTTCAAAGCCAGCCCAGGGCAGGAAAGTCTGAGACTCTTAACTCCAATGAACCACCAGAAAACCAGAAGTGGCACTGTGGCTCAAGTGGTAGAGCGCTCACCTTGAGCTGAAGAGCTGAGGGACAACGACCAGGCCCAGAGTTCAAGCCCCGCCACCAAAAAAAAAGAAAAAGAAAAGCCCTTCATTGGCTGGGAATGTGGCTTAGTGGTAGAGTGCTTGCCTAGCATGCATGAAGTCCTGGGTTTGATTCCTCAATACCACAAACAGAAAAAGTGGGAAATGATGCTTGTGGCTCAAGTGGTAGAGTGCTAGCTAGCCTTCAGCCAAAAGAAGCTCAGGGACAGTGTGCAGGCCCCGGACTGGCAAAACAAAAACATCCTTCATGCATAGCATGTAGACCACCCAATGTGGAGTTCCTTGGTTTCCTGTGGGCCCACCCACTGCTGAACAGGACACCTGAGGGCCAGGCCCAGGGCCTGCTGGGGCTATGCTGGGTCTGCTCTCTGGGGAGACCCAGCCTGACTGGGCCCAGCTCTTTATTGTCTGTGATGCTAGGGTTGGAAGCCATGGTAGGTCCCTGGTCACCTCGAGCCATGTACTTTTTTGCTTTTGGGGCAGGCCTCAGGCCCCTGGTTGTCAGGTTTGCCTTTCTATTTCTGAGGGCTGGAAGGACACAGGCTTGGTCTCATGGGACCGGGGAGGCTGCCTGCTTCTGGCTGCTGGGTGTGGTATCGGGCCAGGCTCAGCATACAGCTGCGAACCGTACCCTGTCCTGCAGGCGGACCTACGTGGGGGCCATGCCCGGGAAGATCATCCAGTGTCTGAAAAAGACCAAGACGGAGAACCCCTTGGTCCTCATAGATGAGGTGCGTGCCCACCCAGACCTCCCAGCCGCCCCCAGGCCCCTCCTGGGAGCTTGGGGAGGGCCGGGGAGTGGGGCGCTGCCACAGCACCTCCTTCCACCGCCCCAGGTGGACAAGATCGGCCGCGGTTACCAGGGCGACCCGTCGTCGGCGCTGCTGGAGCTGCTCGACCCCGAGCAGAACGCCAACTTCCTGGACCACTACCTGGACGTGCCGGTAGACTTGTCCAAGGTGCGGGCCCGCGCTCGTGTGCACCCTGGCTGTGCCCGCGCTGGGGGAGGCGGGCCGCGGGGCGGGGCACCCGCCTGGCCTCCAGCGCCTCCTGTGGCTCACAGGTGCTGTTCATCTGCACGGCCAACATCACGGAGACCATCCCCGAGCCGCTGAGGGACCGAATGGAGATGATCAACGTGTCGGGGTACGTGGCCCAGGAGAAGCTGGCCATTGCGGAGGTGAGGCCCCCTCCGTCCTCGCGGGGCAGGAGCCACAGGGACCCGGTCTGTTCCCCAGAGGCGGCTTGGAGAGAGCCGCTAGCTGGGGCTGGGGGCGGGGCCGTGGGGTGGAGCCTGCTGCGCGCAGGCCACGCCCCGGGCACTCATTGGCTGTGGAGGCCTCGGCCCGCCCCCGCCGGGGGGAAGGGGGCCGCTGAGCCCGCGGTTCGGTTCCGGTTCCGCAGCGGTACCTGGTGCCCCAGGCCCGCGTCCTGTGCGGCCTGGACGAGACCAAGGCCAAGCTGTCGTCGGAGGTGCTGACGCTGCTCATCAAGCAGTACTGCCGGGAGAGCGGCGTGCGCAACCTGCAGAAGCAGGTGGAGAAG